GGGGGGAGTACCCCGAGAAAACCCACTTTCACTGATAACGACCAATTCGTTACCAGTGCCCGGTTAGCGAGAAGAAGTAAGTTGGAAAGGCAAAGTGAAGTCCGGTACTGGGGGTTGATTAAATTTTGAATGAGTTGTGAATTCTCCTGATGTTCGCTAGTGTTTTACTGGGATACAGGTTCAGATTCCGGTATGGTTGTAACGGCGTGAAGTCCTCGGTGTCGCTGGTAAGTGGGCGGAGGGCACAGAAAGGATCGTCGGGTAGGTTGTGGTCGGGGGAGGAGTCGATTACGAGAGCGTTGGGTGAATATGACGACGAGGGTGTAGAAAGTGGCACGGGGCTAAGAGGCGGGTTGCAGGTTTGTTGATAAGCGTCGTTGGTTACTGGAAAGACTGGCGGCTGGGTCTGGGTGTCTTTTTTTCTTCTTCTAGTGGTGGTTTGGGTCATCTTCTCTTGTGTTTCTATCTCAGGTGTGGGCGGAGTTTGTGTTGCTTGGTCAGATTTGGTAGGTTGGGTAGTAGAGCCCTGGTTGGCGGAAGTTGCCGTTCGGATTATGTGAAACGTGGGCTTGGGGTGGGTGGGTGAGGCTTTCGATATGGTTTTTTCTGCTTTGAAGTGATAGAAATCAAGATAGCAGTCGTGGTGAGGATGGAGTCTACGATTAGCTTGGAAGTTGTGGCAACTTTCATGAAAGTGGAGGGTGAACTTGTTTTCTTTGATGAGATACGGTGGACTGCGTGGATCGTAAAGTTGGTTTTAGTTTCGAGGGCTTGATGTATTTCCTCTGGCATAAAGGATAAATGGACGTTTCTGAGAAATACTATGTGGAGACTGACATTGCTTTTAGGGGGTTGGCATGTGACGGGTGGGTTTGAAGACCAAGGGTGGCGAAAATGGTTTGTTTGTTTTGAATTTCGCGCAAAACTACACGAGGGCTATCTGCGCTAGCCATCCCTAATTTAGCAGAGTAAGACTAGAGAGAAGGCAGCTTGTCATCACCACCCACCGACAATTCTTGGGCTACTCTTTTACCAACGAATAGTGGGATTGACCGTCACGGCTGAAAGGGCGAGCATGTTGGGTGTGACGGGGATTCGAACCCGCGATCCACAGATTGGGAGTCGAGCGCCCTAACCACCTGGCAATGCCGGGCCCGTCTTAAAGGATTAACTTGTGCATTGTTTGGTTTGTTTCGTTTTTAAGAGCAAAGTAACATTGGGATATGTGTTATGACTACTGTGGGGAAGCGAACTTTGGATTTAGCGTTGCAAGTCTGTAGACTTACCACTGTCACATTGAAGGACTGAATTGCTTGTTTTCTTACATAATATATTAAAAAAATGAGTTTTCTTTTCATTATTATTCCATTTATAATGTGCTGAAACATAGTTTAGTTGATTTTTAAAGGGATTTTCTCTCCTTATGTATTATTTCATAGTCTTAGGATTTAGTCGAAGGTTTATTATTATTGTAGTGGATTACCTTGTATTTTTATTTAAAATTTTCATTAAAGGGTATTTCTTATGGTTAATCTTTGTTCGCTTTTAAAGGGCTGTGTTGTCAGTGTGGCGTGAATTGTTCTTAGAAACATAGCTGCAATGTTCTTTGTTGGCCAAGCGGATAATGTCTATATGTTATTGTCAAAGAATGCTGTGAGAAAATGACTTTTCATGTGATGATGCTATCCCACTGAAATGACACAAGGTTTATTACAAGATCGGAACCGATATACTTATAGATTTCTACTGTAGCGAATACTTCTACCTAGACCTATGTTGAAGGAATAAAGCTGCCGATACATTCAGAGGTCTAGTAGTAAGGTGTCTGTCACATGTTTATTCAAGTAAGCACATTGTTTTCCGCTTTGCATTTAATAAAGGTTTGTTTTCAATTAGCATCAGATGTGTCCAGTCTTCTTATTTCTCATGTAGCTTAACTCCCAGTCGGATTTGGAAAGTCAGATTACTCTGTAAATTGCTCGTTCAATCCTCCCATTTTGAAGTAGACCTATGTGATGCTTGCACAGAAATCAGTTTATCTGAGTATACGATAAACGCATGGAAATATATTACGAGAATATTCCCGAATGAATGTGTATTCTATACTAATTATGAAAGATGGAAATTCAACGATTATGGTCTGTTTTAGAACGAGGCCACATTGGGCTATGTGCTATGTCTTTTGCTGGGGAATCGAACAGCAAATTTTAGTGTTGGAAGTCCTTAAAGTTACCGCTGTCCTACCGGTGAACCAACTGTCGCAGATCAACTAAATCTACATTAGTCTATGTTGCCTGAGCAGTCGTACTTTGCGTGTATTTCATTTGTTGTAAATATATGAAACTTCAAGCACGTTATGGACAAAAACAACGATTCCAAACTTTGCTGTGGTTTTACTCTTATTAAATATTCTACAGATATTTCGATCTAAACTTTCCAAAATCATTGAGAGTTAATTCAAACATCACTCATGGTAGTCCTGACCTGTGTCTTGTTTAGGAAATTAATTTTCAAGTTGTTCTTCTCATTCATCGTGTAAAATAGATAAAATATAACCTGAAAGTTAATGTTAATATTTTCATGTAAAGTTGATAAAACGGTTGTGTTCCATATTCTGATGTGACCTGTTTTTTAATAACAAAGAACATTTTGAAGTTTCAACAAAAATCATCGCACTATTCATCTATTTCATAACACACTGCATTTGTTATGATTTTTTCTCTTTTCATTCTCCTGTTAAAAAACAAGGGAATAAAAACATTGAACTTTCACATATTTGGTCAGCACGATCACCGGTTTAAATTGTATTTATTTATTTTCTTTCTGATTACATTCTGAGAAATAGCGATAAAACTGAGCATTATTTGAACGTGAAATTGTCTGTAGTTTCAGTTTTTGGGCAGTTTTTATCATAACTGGAAACGTATGGACTACATTGTTCAGCTGCGTTTATTTTCAAGAATTCATATAAACTAGATACCTAAATACTTTAACTAAATCTGTTTATATATTTATGTACAACATTTAATGAAGAAAGTTTCACCGTATTTATATCTGGATTTCCTACAATTTTGTAGTTGATATGTGTTTCGAATTCATAGTTGTCGGTGATGGATAAGTGGGAAATAATTATGAAATACTCTCATATATATAAATGACTGAAGATATATTTCTCATAAAAACTATCGAATATAGTACGTTAAACCAAGATATACATTTAACTGTTATTTAAAAGTTAAGATAACATTTTTAGGCCTTTCGATGAACAAATTCAGTTGTTGATAGAGAAACTTCTTATTGTTGAGAACCTAAACCTCGTTTAAAATGGTTATTAGCTTTATTAAGTTTCGTTGTATCAGCTGTATCAACTTCCACCATCGTTTCTCGTGAGTAGTTTCTTTTTTCTATACTTCTACTGGTCGAGATACAGTAGCTAGCTCTAACTTCTCTGGTTTTGTTTTCTTGGGATTTTTCCTAAAATAACAAAATAAATATTGCTATTATTTCTCAACATTAAAAAACGATAATATTATTTTGGACAGTAACCTCATGTAAAACAAAACTGAATAAACCACTTCATAATCTACACATTTCTGCATAAAGTAATCGATAAAAAAATTACAATATGGATAATATAATACGTTTTACATAAATCATTTAGAATATCTGTTATATTGGAAAACTGGGATAGTGTATTGTTGGTTATTATAGGGATCTACTGACAATAACTACCACGATGAATTAGTGGTTCACTATTGTGGAACGTAACGACAGCTGGGATGTTAGATTATTAGTCTGTTATTAGTATGCAGTGGTTGATTATTATAAGGTAGGTTACAATTACGGGTATGTTGTATTGTTAGATGGTTATTAAAATATTCGGCTGTTATTAGATTATTAAAATGTAGTGACAACAGCTGGGAGTTACATTGTTCATTAGTAGTAGATACAACAACTGGCATGTTAGGCTAATGGTTGATTATTAAAATGTGGTGACAACAACTAGAAATTACATTGTTGGCTAGTAGTAGATACAACAACTGGCATGTTAGACTGATGGATGATTATTAACGTGTAGTAACAACAAGTGGAAGTTACATGTTCGACTGATGGTTGATTATTAAAATGTGGTGACAACTACTAGAAATTACATTGTTGGTTAGTAGTAGATACAACAACTGGCACGTTAGACTGATGGATGATTATTAACATGTAGTAACAACAAGTGGAAGTTACATTGTTGGTTAGTAGTACATACAAGAGCTGCATGTTAGGATGGTGGTTGATTATTAACGTGTAGTAACAACAAGTGGAAGTTACATGTTCGACTGATGGTTGATTATTAAAATGTGGTGACAACAAGTGGAAGTTACATTGTTGGCTAGTAGTAGATACAACAGCTGGCATGTTAGGATGGTAGTTGATTATTAACGTGTAGTAACAACAAGTGGAAGTTGCATTGTTGGTTAGTAGTACATACAAGAGCTGCATGTTAGGATGGTGGTTGATTATTAAAATGTGGTGACAACAAGTGGAAGTTACATTGTTGGTTAGTAGTACATACAAGAGCTGCATGTTCGACTGATGGTTGATTATTAAAATGTAGTAACAACAAGTGGAAGTTACATTGTTGGTTAGTAGTACATACAAGAGCTGCATGTTAGATTGATGGTTGATTATTAAAATGTAGTAACAACAAGTGGAAGTTACATTGTTGGTTAGTAGTACATACAAGAGCTGCATGTTAGGATGGTGGTTGATTATTAAAATGTAATAACAATTACCGGCACGTAGTATTGTCTGTCGATTTTTAAAATTTAGTGGAAATAAATGTTATGTTGAATTGTTTTTTGTTAACAGGAGGTCGTGATAACACCTGGGGTATGGATTATTAATCTGTTAAAAGAATGCAGCGATACATGGTACGTTAAACTGTTAGCTGGGTATTGGAATGTAGTTATAACACCTGACTTGTTGGAGTATTAAATAATTATTAGAACGTAGTGACAAGAAATGGTATATTGGACCATTGGTTGATTTTTTAAAATACAGTGAAAACAAACTGTATGTTGAATTGTTGGTTGTTTATTACAATGTTGTGAAAACAACTGGCGTGTTCAATTGATGGTTGATTATTAGAACACAGTGACAATAAACTGTATGTTGAATTGCTGGTTGGTTATTACAATGTTGTGAAAACAACTGGCGTGTTCAATTGATGGTTGATTATTAGAACACAACCAAGTCCAACATACCATTTATTGTCACTATATTTTAATAACCAACCAACAATTCAACATACAGTTTGTTTTCACAATATTGTAATAACCAACCAAGTCCAACATACCATTTATTGTCACTATATTTTAATAACCAACCAACAATTCAACTTACAGTTTGTTTTCACAATATTGTAATAACCAACCAAGTCCAACATACCATTTATTGTCACTGGGTTATTACAATATTGTGACAGTAGATTGGAGATTAGTTTATTTTGTCAGAAGGTAATGATAATAACTGTTGTGTTGGATTTTTAGTTAATAGTAAAATGTAGTGACAACAACTAGCACGTTGAATTTTTGGTTCGTGGTAGTGACAACAACTAGTATGTTGAACTGTTAGTTCGTAGTTGTGATAAAAACTGGCATATTGAACTGGTGGTTCGTAGTAGTGATAATAACTGGCATGTTGAATTGATGGTTCGTAGTAGTGATACCAACTGGAATGTTGAATTAGTGGTTCGTGGTAGTGATAATAACTGCCATGTTGAATTAGTGTTTCGTGGTAGTGATAATAACTGCCATGTTGAATTAGTGTTTCGTGGTAGTGATAATAACTGGCATGTTGAATTGTTGGTTGATTATTAAAATGTAATGACATAAAACTTGTATGTTAGGTTTTCTTCATTACTTATGAGAACAAGTTTCATGTTGGATTGATGATTGCTTATAAGAATGTTATTAAAACCAACACTACACGTGGCTTATAGGTGTTGCTTAATGGTCACTTATAGATAAATAAAAACAAAAACGTTTTTCTATATACAGATGAATTATGAAAAACCAAAACACTGTGACACACATCGATATATGACTCAGTTTGTGTAGGTATTCATTGGTTATATAATTAAAACATCTTCCATTAAACCTATTTGTTTGATCTACTATTCTGTCCTCACGTGTGAAACTCTTCTCCTTGTTCTAGAGTGTCCATCATCGTATGCATATTGGTTTCAGGAAGCAAAGGCACCAGGAAACTACCGAAAACTGAGATAGCTCCAAATATACCAAGAGGGACATTAGGGTTGGTTGCTCTACCCTGAAATATAGCAAGAGTAAGCAATGTTACACTTGTTTATTGCTCTTTAGAGGTTTACATTTATTTTGTGTATTGATAAACTACAATTTATGTTTCTAGTCAGTTTAGTTATACAGAATTAGCATAAATAATTTAGAAGGTATGTTTTAGTTATGATATATATATAGTTAACTAACTACAAGTTACACCCATAAGTGTTTTCACTTAATACCAGAACTCGTCAGGAAGGCTAGATGATGAGAAACAAAAGGATTCTATGAAATGCTTTTTATATATGTAGCGTAATACTTTAAAAGTTACGGTATAAACGCAGAAAACTGGTGAAGCATTAAATAGAAAAAAAACAACAAAAAACTTTAGCTTTGCATTGTTTTCAGAGATCAAGCTTTAAAGTTATACACTTATAAAAAATAATTAAGAATATCCAGTTTCCTATGGTTATCTTATCTTTAACTTACCAGTTCTTTGACAAAGGGAGCAATGATAGATCCTATTCTGGCAACCGTAGAACAACATCCTACACCGACGTTCCTCACCACCGTGGGGAAGGTTTCAGCCGAGTAGATGTAGATGAATACAAAAGTCCCAGTAATACAGAGCTTCCCAAGCATTGCGAAAGTTGTTCTTAACCATTGAAGGTCTGGTGTCAAAATATAAGATTATTTTATATTAATGGTTAATCTTATCATCGACACATTAAAAGTTGGAGACCACAGATTTTTACACAGAAATATGTGTCTATCTCTCCATTTAAAAAAAAAATAAACGAATTAAAAACCTGTGAAGATTTTCTCATAAATAAATGTAATCTTTATCAAAGTTCAGGTTGAAAAAAGTGCGTGTTCTAAAACGACACACAGATACAAAAAAATTCCTACAGTCGTGTTTATGTCCCCAATTTGACACATATAACTAAATCATAGGGATCTAAATTCTTGTAGAGGTAACGCTCCATTTACGATTTAAAGGTTAAAAAATAGGTGATAAATTTCTGACCCAAAATTTTTTGGCCACACTAAATTTCTGTGCGAGATGGTTGCCTAGAGAGATCTTACAGCGGAGGATTCTGTTATGCGGCTCAATGAAGGATTAGCACGCTGTTTGAAATTTCGACCATAGCGCTCTACCGAATTTGAAGACCTAAACCCCAACATGGAAATGTCTGTTTATTTGATTTTGAATTGCGCAGTAGTGAAACATAGTTTAGTAACTAAAGGCAGGGGTGAAATTCTGCCGGAACTTATCGGTAGGCCCGGCATGGCCAGGTGGTTAGGGCGCTCGACTCGCAATCTGCGGGTCGCGGGTTCGAATCCCAGTCCCACCAAACATGCTCGCCCTTTCAGCCGTGGGGGCGCTATAATGTGACGGTCAATCCCACTATTCGTTGGTAAAAGAGTAGCCCAAGATTTGGCGGTGGGTGGTGATGACTAGCTGCCTTCCCTCTAGTCTTACACTGCTAAATTAGGGACGGCTAGTGCAGATAGCCCTCGTGTAGCTTTGCGCAAAATTCAAAACAAACAAACAAACAAACTGATCGGTAATAGTACAGGGACTTATTTGAGCTGCTTTGTCGTTTTTCATGTTTACTCGTTGATTTTTTATTATTTTCTGAAAACAGGCCCACTTCACCCAGCTGAGTACCTCTCCTGTTTTTTTGTTGTTTTTTTTTAGAATTACACTTCTGACTAAAGGTATTTCAATATTATAATAGAGAAAAATAGCTTTTTAGCTATTTGAATTTCGTAATAGTGAAAAATTGTTTCGTAACGAGCAAAGGTTTCTTATGACTTCTCAGTACATTTTTATTATAGCGAAAAATGCGAACGCAAGTTGAAAACATACCCATAAAACTAAAAATTAATTACGTTAAAACGAAAAAGTGTAAACCGAACGTTAATAAATAGAGGGATACCTAGGCTGTAAATTAAACGGCGAGTATTCATAAATATCAGTAGTAACTTCTAAACAAAACCTCAAATATCAAAGCTAAATATTTGTCCAACAAATAATGTAGAAAATTATACTGGTTTGTCTGTGAGTAAGTAATGTCATAAAACAAATATATGTAAAGACTCAAATGCTGTGATTTACCAAGTTGCGTAGCTTGGCTACTATCGATATCTTCGGTCTTAATTATTTATCATTGGCGGTTAGGTTTAGGCATATAATAATCTTTAGCTTTGCTTGTTGCTTTTGATAAATACTATTTGATGTAAAGCGACTAACTCGTGTCCAGTGGAATTGGTGGACGCATTTTGAACAGAAGTACATTATTTCTTCATTAGCTAAACCAAGTTAGGCCTATTTGGTTACTATTGTTACGTCTCCGTTTGTTAATTGATTTTCCGTAACTTCGTTCCGACGAAACTTAAGCGACACAAGTTCTTTCTTAATAAAAACTGGTTTATTCTTTCCGAATATAACTTTACCGATACACTCAACTTCAACAATCGCGCTAAACAAACGCTATAACAACGAACGTGCTCAATAATACTTCTGACTGCAGATCAATTACTCACTGTCTATACACACATTACCGCGTCACGTTGTCCCCCTCTTTTATATACCCGACTACCCTATATCTAGTAAATACTAGAGCATTCGCCAAAGTACAGGATAATTCTAGAAAGTAGAGAGCGTGAGAATCACATGATCTCGATGACGCAACACTATACTTTTATGTGTATCATGCACTGCATGGTATATGCTACCTATCATATTAGGCTTAGGTTTTATAACAAACAGCGAACTTTTTTCATGCAGTGAAAAGGACATTTTTTCCAGAATCCTATATAATCAAGGAAAGGGCGAGAACCCCTCTAATTCTTTTCATTCTACTGTAACTATTAAAATTAATGATACTCCTAAATATACCTAATAAGATTTTTGTAACATCTACAATTGGAATCGAGTGAAGCAAATAAAAATACACTCATCCATTGCAACAAACATCAAACCTTGGTCTTATATCAAACATGTACGTTAATTCTCTGTAGATCTGCAGTTATCAAAGTAAGTTTTGTTAAATGTAATTAAACATAAGCTATAACGTAAAATACGCTGTGTATCATTCTGTGCGAAAACTGGATTAATGGAGTTTTTAACACATTCTACTGGCAACTTTCATTAACCTTTATCTTCC